TGCTCTTCCTTTGCGCGTTTACGTGATCGGCACTTGTATCATAGAGGTAACTCTAAGACCACTGGGTCCCGAAGAAAATCATTATTATTTTTGGCTCACTCAGTACCAGAACAACGGTCCCAAGCAGTCCCAAGCTATTTCACTCACACCTGCATGTTCTGCATGAATCCACACACCCCTGATGTTATCTGTCAAACTTTCATAGCGAATCAAAACAAACATAGTGTAGTAATAGAATTTCAACTAGAATAGGGTACGTTAATCGTTTGCTTGGGACCAATAGGCTACTAAAGTGGTGAGCCAATTTAAAATCGTTAGTTTCGTATTGATTGTTGGTCCTAGTGCCAGCGTGGGACTCTAAACAGAGCTGTGCACGATGGTCCCCCGGCGAGACAGGGGGTTGGGGAAGGCCCAACAAGCCGCCCTGAAAAAAAAACAAAGTTGCAAATACCGAAGAAATAAATACGGATCGGAACAATCGGCACAGACCTACGCGACGAAATAAGGACTACGATTGGAAACTCGGAACATGGAACTGCAAATCGCTCGGCTTCCCGGGTTGCGATAGGTTAATCTACGACGAACTTCAACCACGCAACTTCGAAGTCGTAGCACTGCAGGAACTTTGCTGGACGGGACAAAAGGTATGGAAAAGCGGGCATCGAGCGGCTACTTTCTACCAGAGCTGTGGCACCACCAACGAGCTGGGAACCGGCTTTGTAGTGCTGGGTAAGATGCGCCAACGCGTGATTGGTTGGCAGTCGATCAACGCGAGGATGTGCAAGTTGAGGATTAAGGCCCGTTTCTTCAACTACAGCATCATCAACGTGCACTGCCCACACAAAGGGAGACCCGACGACGAGAAAGAAGCGTTCTATGCACAGCTGGAGCAGGTGTACGACGGCTGTTCGCAACGGGACGTCAAAATCGTCATTGGCGACATGAACGCTCAGGTAGGACGGGAGGCAATGTATAGACCGGCAATCGGGCCAAACAGCCTGCATGCCGTATCGAACGACAACGGCCAACGATGCGTGAACTTTGCAGCCTCTCGGGGTATGGTAGTTCGAAGTACCTTTTTCCCCCGCAAGGATATCCACAAAGCCACCTGGAGATCACCTGACCAACACACAGAAAACCAAATCGATCACGTTCTAATCGACGGGAAATTCTTCTCCGACATTATCAACGTCCGCACGTACCGCAGCGCGAACATAGATTCGGACCACTACCTAGTTGCAGTATGCATGCGCTCAAAACTCTCGACGGTGCATAACACACGTCGAAGTCGAACGCCGCGACCCAACATTGAGCAACTACGGGACGCCGGAGTTGCCCAGGACTACGTGCAGCAGCTGGAAGTTGCACTACCCACGGAAGAGCAGCTTGGCGCAGCTTCTCTTGAAGATGGCTGGAGGGACATCCGTTCAGCCATAGGTAGTACTGCTGCAGCGGCACTAGGTGCTGCAATCCCGGACCGAAGAAATGACTGGTTTGACGGCGAATGCAAACTGTTAGTAGAGGAGAAGAATGCAGCACGGGCGAGAATGCTTAAACACCACACGAGATTGAATGTGGAGCGATACAGACAAAACTCGGTTTTCCGAAGGAAGAAGCGTCAGCAGGAAGACCGAGATCGCGAGGCGATGGAAAATCTGTACCGCGTAAACGACACACGGAAGTTCTACGAGAAGCTAAATAGTTCACGCAAAGGCAACGTGCCGCAAGCCGATATGTGCAAGGACTTGGACGGTAACCTTCTCACGAACGAGTGTGAGGTGATTGAGAGGTGGAAGCAGTACTATGACGAGCACCTCAACGGTGAAGCAGCAGAAAACGAAGGTGGCACGGCAACATACCTTGGAGCACGCGCAGAAGACGACAGGCTACCGGCCCCTGATCTTCAAGAAGTTGAGGAGGAGATCGGTCGGCTGAAGAACAACAAAGCAACTGGTGTAGATCAACTACCAAGTGAGCTATTGAAATACGGTGGTGAAGCACTGGCTAGAGCGCTGCACTGGCTAGAGCGCTGCACTGGGTAATTGCCAAGATTTGGGAGGAGGAGATATTACCGGAGGAGTGGATGGAAGGTGTCGTATGCCCAATCTACAAAAAGGGCGACAAGTTGGATTGCTGCAACTATCGCGCGATCACACTGCTGAGCGCCGCCTACAAGGTACTCTCCCAAATTCTATGCCGCCGTCTGTCACCATATGCAAGAGAGTTCGTGGGGCAATACCAGGCGGGATTCATGGGTGCCAAATTTTCGCGATTCGGCAGGTTCTGCAGAAATGCCGCGAATACAACGTGCCCACACATCATTTGTTCATCGATTTCAAATCCGCATACAACACAATCGATCGAGATCAGCTATGGCAGATTATGCACGAGTACGGATTTCCGGACAAACTGACTCGATTGGTCAAGGCGACGATGGATCGAGTGATCGGGGACACTCTCGAGTCCCTTTGAATCTCGAAGGGGGTTACGGCAAGGTGATGGACTTTCGTGTCTGCTGTTCAACATCGCGTTAGAAGGTGTGATCAGAAGAGCTGGGATAGACACGAGTGGCATGATATTCAGGAAGTCCATCCAGCTCCTTGGCTTCGCCGATGACATTGACATTATGGCACGGAACTTTGAGATGATGGCGGAAACGTACATCAGACTGAAGGCTGAAGCTAGACTTATTGGACTTGCCATCAACGCATCAAAGACAAAATACATGAAAGGAAGAGGTTCTAGGGAAGACAATGTTAGCCTCCCACCCCGAGTTCAGATTGACGGTGACGAAATCGAGGTGGTCGATGAGTTCGTGTATTTGGGCTCACTAGTGACCGCCCAAAATGATACCAGCAGAGAAATTCAAAGACGCATTATGCCAGGGAATCGTGCCTACTTTGGACTCCGGAGGACGCTCCGGTCGAATAAAATTCGCCGCCGCACGAAGTTGACTGTCTAAAAGAAGCTGATTAGACCGGTGGTCCTTTACGGCCACGAGTCCTGGACTATGCTCGTGGAGGACCAACGCGCCCTTGGTGTTTTCGAACGGAAGGTGTTGCGTACCATCTACGGTGGAGTGCAGATGGATGACGGAACGTGGAGGAGGCGAATGAACCACGAATTGCATCAGCTGCTGGGAGAACCATCCATCGTCCACATCGCAAAAATTGGGCGACTACGGTGGGCTGGGCACGTCGTAAGAAAGCCGCACGACGACCCAGTGAAAATGGTTCTAGAAAGCGACCCAACAGGAACAAGAAGACGAGGCGCGCAGCGGGCAAGGTGGATCGACCAAGTAGAAGGTGACCTGCGGACCCTTCGCAGACTACGAGGCTGGCGAACTGTGGCCATGGATCGAGTAGAGTGGAGACGACTTCTTCGGACAGCAGAGGACAACAAGGCCTTAGCCTGATTGGTAAGGTAAGTTTTGTTTGTAACGCATCTGAGGTAAGTGATAATTCACGATTATTTCTAGAAAAATACGTTTCAAAAGAATAAATTGGTAAACAACATGAGTAAACCTATTGTTTGCATTGCGGAATTGCATTGCGATAACGTTATTTTTTAATTATATTTAATTATAACAATTTAATATTTACTATACTTTTGCTGTGACATCATCACTACCTTTCGTAATCCTACGTCAAATCTACGGTCCTGTCTTGGATAGGGTAAACGCTCCTATAGTTGCGGTACGTTAGAAGCGTTAGGTTCCTATAGTTGTGTATTGAGTCTCCATACACAACTATAGGAACCTAACGCTTCTAACGTACCGCTACTATAGGAGCGTTTACCCTACAACCTCTTACTTTTTTCAACGAATTCGGTATTTTTTATTAAAACATCATGTTATTCTTCAAAAAAACGTCAATGAATATTGGAGAAGGGACCGTGGTCAGCCGTACGACGCAACTTAGTCGCAATGCTCTCACAGGAGCACTGGACGACACTGAAATTATTCTCATTTTTTTATTGAACACCCGTTAGCTTCCAAGCTTCCAATCCATCGGTCCTTTTCAGGACCACAAATGACTAATAAAAGAATAAACTAAATAGTAAGAGCTTGAATCCAAGACATATCGTCCAGGATTGGCTTGTACTACATGAACAACGACAGAGCACCTTAAAAACAGAACTCTCAAATTGCTTCCGAATTTCAACCTATCGAAATTGTTCACTAATAACGAGTTAAGAAATCAATTTAATATTTACTATACTTTTGCTGTAACATCATAAGTACCTTTCGTAATCCTACGTCAAATCTACGGTCGTGTCTTGGATACAACCTCTTACTTTTTTTCGTTATAAAGTTTCTCCATATACACATTGTGATTTCATCCATGGATCTAAAGTTCTATCACGCTGAATATAAAAAGAATCTCAAAATTCGATCCATTTAGCTCAGTAACGTTTAACCTAACAGACTTAATTTTTTAATGGTTTTGTAGCTCAGAAAGCTGTGAAACTTTGATAAATATCACTAAAATCCTGGGGCTAAAATAAAAAAAACTTATTTCTGGGATTTGGATAATTCGTAGAGATCTACGTCCATGTTGGAAGCTCCTCAATATATTCACAAGACGTACGCAATTATGCCCTGATATAAAATCAGGCATCTACCATTGATTTTGATGTTGGGGCTGGCCATAAACCAGATCAGTTTGCCAAGTGACTATGGTTCATACAATTTGAATAAAAAAATTTAGTCGACGACACTGTTTTCATTTTCAATGATAACGATAAGTAAAGGATGCCGTCATATCTTACAACAGCGACCAGGAGAACAGCTGTTGCTTGTATTATTATCATCAGAATTATCAAACATATTTGTTTTGCTGCTTGTTGCTATAGCCCACCGCATGGCACTCCGACAGATCGATTATCATATTCCACAGTATTTTGATACTTCGCGAGCGAACCACTACCATCACAAGATTCAAAATCTTGGCTGCCCGTACACAGTCTATCTCAGTCGCTGGTTGACTCTCGACGCGTTAGGGGTTTCGTGCACACTTACTGCTAAGCATAGTTTAGTGACGTTCACGGGTGAGCACTATGAGTCCGAAAATACTCATCATTGGCGCCGGTGCGTCCGGAATTGCTGCTGCTACACGTTTGTACGAAAATGGATACCGAAATTTGATTATACTGGAAGCTGAGAATCGAATCGGAGGACGAATTCACACGGTACCCTACGCAGATAATGTACTGGATTACGGTGCCCAATGGTAGGATTAATTTCAAATGGTTGAATGAACATTATTCATCAAACATACCGTTCTAGGGTTCACTCGAACGTAGACAACGTTGTGTACGATATGGCGGCAAAGTATAATCTGGTTGAAGTAGAAGCTCACCGCGAAGACGAGCTATGCATCAAATCAAATGGAGAGGAAGTTCCGGTGGAACTATCGAATCGAATTGTGGATGTACTAGAACATTCTGTAGATGATGTCGATGATTTGAAACGATATAGTAGATCGTTGGGTGATTATTATTCGGAAAGGTATCAATCCAATTAAAGATAACAATAGTACACATCTAATCGAAGGTATTAGTTTCCATAAGGCTCTACAAGACGGGAAATTTGCAGATATCGACAGCGAAACGTGCTATCAAATTTACCAATCCTTTTTAAACTACCACAATACCTACAATGCCGTAGATAGTGTGTTTGAGATGTCCGCACCGGGGTTATTGGAGTTTACCGATCATCAGGATGAATATCTTATCAACTGGCGAACACGTGGCTTCAAAACGATTCTAGACCTTATGATGGCATGTAATCTACATGCTTTGATTGGTTTGAATGTCTTCTAATTAAATGTTTAATTGCAGAAACGACTTCCGGAGCAAAAAGCGACGCCCATACCGATCGAGAACCATGTATTTTTCAACAAGCGTGTAACGAATATCAGTTACCCATCGGACCCCGATCAACCCGTCCGAGTGACGTGCAGTGACGATAGTTGTTATGTAGTAGACCATGTGATAGTTACTGTCTCCCTTGGAGTTTTGAAAGAGGTCTATCACACACTGTTCACTCCAAAATTACCTCAACTGCATCAGAATGCAATCGAAGGACTCTACATTGGAGTAATCGATAAAATGGTATTGGAATTTGAGAAACCTTTCTGGCCAAATGGATGGCACGGTTTTGCAATGTTGTGGAACAAGAATGATCTGGAAGAGCTCCGCAATTCCGATAAAAGTTGGATAGAAGGCGTTGCCAGTTTCTTCGTTCCGGAACACCAACCCAATTTACTTGTCGGATGGGTTTACGGAAAGTATGCTAGGACTATGGAAGGTCTTCCAGAGAAGGAAGTCGTCGATGGACTGCTGTTTACTCTCCGGAAATTTTTAGTAAAATATGAGATACCTGAAGCAAAATCTTTCACCCGCAGTACCTGGTACACAAATAGGAATTTCCGTGGATCGTACACCAGTCGCTCGATGAAATCGGACATTCTAAATGCCAAAGCAGCTCACTTGGCCCAACCTTTGGTAAACTCACTCGGACTTCCGGTGGTGCAGTTCGCAGGTGAGGCTTCACATCCGGAGTATTACTCAACGGTGCAAGGCGCTGTAGGAAGTGGCTGGAGAGAAGCGGACAGAATAATTGAACTTTATAGGAACAAACGAATGACAGTAGAATTTAGCAAATTGTAAGCAATAATTGGAACATACAGTATTCATAGATTTAGATTGTGCATGATTAGGATCCTAATACACGTGAAGCATTTTTCGTCCGACTACCTGTCTAATTTTTTCTATAGTCCCACGCCCTACACACTAAGATTTTAATTCCGTGTTCGGTAAATTTTACCGAAATCAGAACAGCTGAATGTTCGGTAAAACTTTGACCTTAATTTTAAAGGCTATTGAATTTCGAAAATAATTTTAAAACATGTTAAACCTTGTCATTTAATCAAATCTTGTCATTATAGTGGAGATTTAGTTTCAAAGTAGATGAAAAGCAATTGAATTGAATTGCATAAATTTTACCGAACAGTTTAGCTGTTCAGATTTCGGTAATAATTTCTAAGTGTGTCAGCGATAATTTCTAAGTGTGTATGTCTCACTACACACTTAGGCCCCTGACAGAGTGAATGAATAACTTTCTCGCTAATGTGGATTGGAATGCGACACTAGACTCCGGGGATGCGAATCTGGCTGCCTTGATCATGTGTGGTATCATATTCTACGCTATCGATCAGTTTGTGCCTAAAAAACTACGGTGTAAACCTGCCAAACCCGCCTGGTCGAACTCTGATCTTAAGCATCTGAAAAAGGTGAAAAGGGCTGCACTGAGGAAACACAGTAAATATCACACAGATTCTACGAAGGCTAATTACGTCCGCGCCAACAACGAGTACAGAGATCTCAATGCAAGCTTGTACAACGCACATCAGTCTCACTTGCAGAGTCGTCTCAAAGCTAATCCTAAGGAATTCTGGCGATATGTGAACGAGCAACGGAAAGAAACGGGATTGCCGTCCAATATGACTGATGGCGTTACTGATGCCAACTCCGTCGCAAATATCGCCAATATGTTTCGCACACAATTCAGCAGCGTTTTTTCAGACGAAGTTCTTGATGCTCAGGAAATTGCTGCTGCCACGAGTAATGTCCCTCGTACGTCGGTGTTTGGTTCTCCATTCACCATCCACAGCGACATGGTGATTTCAGCCGGGAAACAGATGAAAACATCAACAGGATCTGGTCCAGATGGCATTCCCTCATTAGTACTGAAACGTTGCTTAGACACTCTTTCAGAGCCCTTAGCTAAGGTCTTCAACTTGTCAATGACCTCCGGAGTTTTTCCAGAATGTTGGAAGGATTCGTTTGTTTTCCCTGTTCACAAAAAAGGATGCAAGCAGACTGTCGCCAATTACCGCGGAATAGCTGCATTGAGTGCTATCTCCAAACTATTCGAGCTAATTGTCCTGGAAAAGTTGGTTCAAGACTGCTCGTACAGTATTTCTCAGGATCAACACGGCTTCATGCCTAAGCGCTCGACGACGACTAATCTAACTGTTTTTACATCGTTCATTATTCGTGAGATTGAACGTGGCCATCAAGTTGACGCCATATACACCGACCTCTCTGCAGCTTTCGATAGAGTGAACCATGAAATTACCATCTCTAAATATGACAAAATGGGTGTTCATGGGAGTCTACTTACCTGGCTTCGCTCCTATCTGACTGGCAGATCTATGTCTGTTAAGATCGGTGACTACGCTTCTCCACCCTTCATTGTTACATCTGGTGTTCCTCAAGGCAGCCACCTGGGGCCATTGCTTTTCCTGTTGTATATGAACGACGTGAACTTGATCCTCAAATGCCTTAAACTCTCGTACGCCGACGACATGAAGCTCTAGCTCTACTACGTAATAAAAGGGCCTCAAGACGCTCATTTCCTCCACCAAGAACTTGAAGTCTTTGATGATTGGTGCCGGATAAACAGGATGTCTTTAAATGTGTCCAAGTGCTCGGTCATCTCCTTTGGCCGTAAACGGGCGATGCATTTCCACGATTACACCTTAAGAGGAATAAGCTTGAAACGCGAATCGACTGTCAAGGACTTGGGAGTCATGCTCGATTGCAAATTAACGTTCAAGGATCACATTGCTTATGTTGTATCTAAAGCTTCATCGCAGATAGGAATTTTATTCCGTTTCGCCAAAAGCTTCAAGGACGTGTATTGCCTGAAGGCTTTATACTGTTCCCTGGTTCGACCTATACTAGAATACTCTGCAGTTGTTTGGTCGCCATTCTATCAGAATGCCATCCATAGAATTGAAGCTGTTCAGCGAAAATTTATTCGCTTTGCGTTGCGACACCTTCGTTGGCGCGACCCGCGTAACTTGCCGAGCTATGAAAGTCGCTGTAACCTCATCGACCTGGAGCTCTTGGAAGGAAGGCGTAATGTGGCGAAGGCTTGTTTCGTTGCGGATCTTCTGCAAGGGAACGTCGACTGCTCCACACTTCTCAGTCTTCTTGACATCAACACTCAACGACGGGACCTCCGGCTGCATGCGTTCTTCAACAACCGGCGTTCGAAGACCAACTATGGCGTACACGAACCAATGTTGAGTATGTGCCGCGTTTTCAATAGTTGTTATTATGTGTTCGATTTTAATGTGTCCCGCGAGAAAAATAAGCGTAGCTTTAAGAGTTGTTTGCGTTAATTTTGTGTTTGAAGCAGTTTTGATGTTTAGATATAGAAAATTGTCATTAGGGTAACTATTTTATCTGTTGCCAAGTAGAAATAAATAAATAAATAAATAAATGCGAGAAGCCGAGCTTACCAGTAAATGAAATTATAATTGATCTTTTGTGCGCTCGGACACTCGCATTCAATCTGCCAGGGGCATTAAACATTATCGCCGACTATTTTAAATGTCTGAATTTGTGAAGCTGTCTGAGAGCTCATGAACTTTTGATTAAGTAGAGAGCCTAACGTTTTTTTTTGTTAAGGTCTTGAATAAAAATGAACTCCGATAATAACAAGTTTCTTGTATAGTAGATAGAGCTAGTGTGAAGTAAGTGAGCGTGAAGCGTGATAGACCGTATTTAAACGAAATCTCATTGGTTTGAAAATTTTGATAGGTTAGTAGGTGACGATGAGGTTAGCATCGGCACCAGTTTCGAGAGACGGAGCGCTTGAATTATCAGGAACAATCACTGCAGAGACTGCCTCACTGGGGTGAGTCACCGTGTAGAGGATTTCAACTATTGTTTTAATTTAAACATGTCGTTTTCATTTTACTGTAAAGGGTCATTCACAAATTATGCAAAGGTTTTGAGTGATTATTAAACCTCTCCCAATTTAGGACTTAGATCTTAAGATGAACTTCTCCCTCCTAAAATCTTAAAAAGGCTCCTAAATGTTCAGAGTTGGGAACATTAACATATTAGTGGCTTGTTCAAATATGCACCAACCGGTCTAACTAACGATTTTAAATTGGCTCACTACTTGATTAGTCTATTGGTCTCAAGGAAATCGATTAACGTACCCCATTCTAGTATAAATTACAGTACTACAATATGTTTGTTTTGATTCGCTATGAAAGTTTGACAGATAAAATGAGGGGTTCGTGGATTTTCCTATTTTTCGAGGGGTGCATCGATAAGCTTGGGACCGAAGATAGTACCACTTACGCTTCCACTAAACCAGCGTCCGCCCCCGTTGCGTATCCACCATCAGATCAAGTGGGTCCCAGCCACCGTTCAGTTCAGCCACAAACGAAGTGACAGACGGAACGGCTCGAAAACTTTGGTGACTAACCTGCTATTGCAATTTTTCAGTGTACCACATGGCAACACCACTACTACTGGATTGTACCACATGGCAACACTACTACCATAGAGGTAACTCTAAGACCGCTGGGTCCCGAAGAAAATCATTATTATTTTTGGCTCACTCAGTACCAGAACAACGGTCCCAAGCAGTCCCAAGCTATTTCACTCACCCCTGCATGTTCTGCATGAATCCGCACACCCCTGATGTTATCTGTCAATTTTTCATAGCGAATCAAAACAAACATAGTGTAGTAATAGAATTTCAACTAGAATAGGGTACGTTAATCGTTTGCTTGGGACCAATAGGCTACTAAAGTGGTGAGCCAATTTAAAATCGTTAGTTTCGTATTGATTGTTGCTACTACTAGATTGAACTAGCATTTTAACCGAATGTACTAGAATGTTTTGGTTCTATCTCTTTCACTCTACTCAAAACTGAAATGCATAAAAAAATGACAAAATGATACGCACTCTTTGCACACTGTCAAAGAATCATTGTACACAAAATCAACTTTGTTCAAATCAAAACAAAAAAACTAACCCATCTGGTGGATGATGGCACAAGCTTCCAAGAAAATTCTATTACAGTGAACCACATTATTTTAATGGATTTCTTCACCAGTAAGTCGTCTGTCACTTCGTTTGTGGTTCAGCATCGCCTCACTGCCGCTGCGGCCCAGCCGAGCCATGGCTCTACTGCCCGGGATTTTCGAACACCCGTGCTGTGTCAGGTGAGTCAGAAGACAATTCTCCACTCACAAGCGACGAAGTGATCCTCGTGACTGAGGTGATCATAATCTTGCGAACCATCAAGACACTGCCTGAACAGCTTCTTGCAGTTTTGTCCCTCATGCAAAATTATGGACCGTGAAGCCATCAAAATAGCCAACTGGAACGCTTGTTCGCTCAAGAGCAAAATCATTGAGTTCGTTGATTTCCTCAATGAACATAGCATTGACATCGCCGTCATCACCGAAACACACCTGAAGCCGGAGATAAATGTTCACCTCCCCAATTTTCGGCTCGACTGGACCAGCTCCTGCATTAAGGCGAAATATTGGCTGTCGACTGCTACCGAGTATCCAGCTGAAGATGATCGAAGCGGTGGGTGTGGAAGTCTCCACTCCTGTCGGCTCTATTACCATCATTGCGGCCTACTGTCCCAAACAAGTCACCATCAAGGACGGGTCAGCAGTAGACCTGCGGAGAGACATCATCAGACTAACTCGACGGCGTGAGAAGTACATCATCGCTGGCAACCTCAACGCCAAACACCAGGCTTGGGGCAACAGTCGACACTCCACCATCAACATCTTCGTCAGCAACATGGCAAACAACATCTCGCAACCTGTGACCCACCAGGATCTGAGTTA